GAAGCTGGCTTTTGTAGAGAAACAGAGGCAAAAATGTACAGTCATTCCTCCATCTGTATGGAGAATTGGTTCAGAGCCCCTCCCCAAGATATCAAGTTCTTTATATAAAATGACATATAGTATTTGCATGCAACCTATATACATCTTTCTTAATCCACTTTCAATCTTCTCTAGATTGTTTGTGATATTTAATACAATGTAAATGCTATGAAATTATTTGTTACATTATATTGTTTAGGTAATAATAACAAGAAGTAGAATTCTACTATTTCATCACCATAGAACTGATATTTTTAAAACATTTTTGATCTGTAGTTGGTTGAATTGGCAGACACAACACTCATAGATACAGAGAGCCAAACTGGTGTGCGCTCTTTGAGGTATAACCAATTTGTGGGAGTAACAGTGGGCATATGTCAGTTCTGCTACCCAAATACCAACCACATAACACTCTCCCCACTTTACCTCTCCTTAGCCTTCTATTGCCTGACAAGGTCTACCTGCAACAGCAGAACTAGATGGGAAAATCAACAAATCAACCCCCGTTAGGTTATTCCTGGCATGCCCCAAATTCTGCCTGTCTTCTCGATTGTAGCCATCTACAGCTTTGATTTATTCCAGATATACCATTCTTTGGACTGAACCATCATAGTGGAGTCACAAGGTATTATAGAAAGATCCTTGGGCTTGGAGTTCTACTACACATGAGTTCAAATATCAGCTTTAAAAATATGATTTGTTGTTTGTGTGTATATGATTTTAGGGCTGACCAGTTTGTATTGGATAACCAACAGACCCAGAAGGTTGTTTTTATATAATTGTGCACATATGTAACCAGTTTGAGAGTGAGGGGCACATGGGAGGGGTTGAGAGGAGGAAAGAGAAGGGGGAGGTGATGTTATTGCATTTTAATTAAAATATGTTAAAAGATAAGCGAAAATTAATTAGTAGTTTTGTGGTGCAAGGGCTTGAATCTAGAACCTCACTTACGCTATGCAAGTGCTGTACCAGTGAGATATGTTCTCATCCCTTCTAATACTTTTTCTTTTGAGACACACCTCACTAAGTTTTCCAGTCTGGCTTTGAACTTACTCTGTAGTTTATACAGGCTTTGAATTTGCAATCCTCCTGCTGTCTGAGGTAGCTAGGATTACAGGCTTCAACCACTTGGCTCAACTCAAGTGTCAGCTTGAAAGGATTTTGTTTATTCGTTCTGATGCTTTATTTGTTTTTCTTTTGAACATCTTTATATCTGCAAAATAAGTGCTGTATCCAAAGAAATTATCCACATTCACCTTTCTGGCTGGTATTATTTCCTTTGTTGCACTCCCACTCACTCATCCGTTTTGCTTGGTTCACTGTCTTTCTGTGCATTTACTAAGGCAACATTCTATAATACAAACATTGAACCAAATGGCTGCTTCAGGAGCGCATTAATATGAGCTAGCTCAGTTTAACTGGGTTCTTCCATGTCAGTGGCTTACAGGAAAGACTTTGTAAGGTCCCTGTGGGGAAACTGAGAAGTTTTCCAGTTACTCCTTTCTTGGGTCTTCTCTGGTGTTATTATTTTGTTCTGATGACTTCTCAGCACACTAGCTGCACACATCTGAAACTATGAATACAGGATGCATTCCAAAGCCAAACATAAATTAGTTTTGGACTGCTTGTACTGTCTTTCCATGATTTGTATGGTTAGTAGAGTTACTGGAACTGGGGATTTTAAATCACATTTGGAATGAAACATATAACCACAGGGAAAGAAAGAAGGAAAGGATTCTGTCACCTTACAAATTCTTTGGCTTTCTTTCAGAGGTATCCACCATATGGGTCCCCCAGGCATTTAATGTTTTCTCCTCCTCCTCCTCCTCCTCCTCCTCCTCCTCCTCCTCCTCCTCCTCCTCCTCCTCCTCCTCTTCCTCCTCCTGGCTAAGTCTCATGTATCTCATACTGGTCTCGAACTCTGGATCCTCCTGCCTGGTTTTCCTAAGTGCTAGAATTTATGACCTGTGCTACTATGCCTAGCTTTATTTAATAAATTTAAATTGAGTTACTTCGTTAGCTACTTTGTTAGCATTTTTTTTTCTCATCAGCTAAAACAGGCTTTGTTTCCAGTTGAGAGTTTTAGAAATCTAGAAAACCTCACTAATTGAGATTGAGGATGTTTTTGTAGATTCATTGAAAATATCAAATTCTACGATCAAACAGCTACTAAGTATAAATACTGATGACACTTGCATTTAAAGGGAACATTGGCGTGTGTGTGTGTGTGTGTGTGTGTGTGTGTGTGTGTGTGTGTGTGTGTCGGGGGGAGGGCAAGGATCATGCCTTCTTGGGATTTTATGATTTGTGTGTAGATGAATGGTTTTCCTGCTGTTTTTTCATTCTTGTTGACTTTGAAGTGGCAACAACAAAAGTGTCAGGTGGCATTCTTAGGGAGTTAGGAAGAGGTAAGCAGGGTCTGTGGATACACATTTAATACCCTTTGTCAAAAATGCTGGAGAGTAATAGAGCATGGTGGTACATTCCTGTATTTTCACTAAGAAGACTGAGGAAGGATAATTACAGGTTCAAAACCAGCCTGGGCTACATAGTGAGAACTCTGTCTCAAAATCTACAACACAAAGCCAGAAATGCTTGGGACTGGAAGTTTCAGATTTTGAAATATTTGCATATATAGTAAGATGTCTTTGAGATAAGACTCAAGTCTAAATATGATACTAATTTGTATTATATGTAGATTTTGCATAGTTCAGAGGTCATTTTATACACTATTTTAATACACTTCAGATTGACTGCAACCTATCAGAGGAGACCTGATGTGGGATTTCCATTTCTGGAATCTTGTGGGAACTCAAAATGTTGAACATTTTGAAGCATGTAAAATTTTTGAATCAGTATTAGTCAATGTACAGTAGGCTTCCTTAAAGGATGAACTAAAGTAAATGAATCTTTTGTCTCAGACAGATGGGAGCTGGGATCAAGTTTAAAGTACAGGGGTTATTTATTTCCTGTTTTGAAAGTTCATTATTTCTGTAGAAAACCTGTGAATGTAGCTGACCTAGGTTAGGGAATCATGCCCAAGTGGTGTGAGAAGGTATGTGGCTTGGGGTGTTGAAGTTTATACACATATGCATGTAACAACAATTAATGAAAAAAGAGGCCATGAATTTGAAGGAAAGCAAGGTGGAGCCAGCATGAAGAAGTTCCTACTGAACAAATTTTGGGAAATTTGAACATGAAAATGACAGCAATGGGTTTTGAGACACTGATTAAACAACAACAAGTATTCTGCTTACATGCAAATACATAATGGTTAAATTAAATATTTTATACCAAAATATCACATCAGAAACTAATCACTGTTACAAACTGACATTCTGTTGTTGTACCTCTTAGTAGAGGCCTAATCCCAGTACTTACAAAGTAGAAGCAGGGAGATCAAGAGTTCAAGGCTATCTTCAGCTACATAGTAAGTTTGAGGCTAGCCTGAATTAAGAACTTATATCCTAAAAAGTGGGAGATTGCCTACAAAATAATTGTGACTTATAATCTTCAAAACTGTCAAGATCATGAACTTCAAAAAAGGGCCCAAGAAACCATCACACATGGGTACCTTTCACTTTTTAGTAAGTTTATAGTTTTTTGAACATTTGGAGACAATCTTTAATCAAGGCTTGCCTGGAAATCATGCAATCGTTATTTTTCCTAATTTTGAAACCCTCTAAGATTAGTTGAAAATTACAGAAATGGGAAAGAGCTAGCAATCAATAAAGAGATATTTGTTTGAATAAATCCACTGACGTAAAATTCAGAGCAAATACAGAAAAACACAGCTATCAGAGAAAACCCATAGTTAGGTGTTGTAGCTCAGTCATAGCATGTTTGAGGTCCTGAATTCCACCCTTAGCATTACATTCCCCCCCACCAATACTGATGGAATTAAAGATTCAATACCGTATTTCCAGAAAGGGGGTGTGTTCTAGAGGAACAGAACCAATAGAATGAATAATATGTATTTAAATGGGATTTATTAGATTGGCTTACAGGGTAAAGTCTGGATAGTCCAAAAATGGCTGTTTTACATCTGACAGGCTGACAATCTGGTATTTACTCAGTCCGGGAGGCTAAGCTGGATATCTCAGCAGTCCCAGTCTGGCATTGAAGGTCTGGAGGATTCCTGGAGAGCTACCGGTCTTCAGTCTATGTTAGATATCCGAGGAATCTGGGTCCACTATCAGCGAAGGAATGCAGCAGTTGTAGCATCAGAATAGATGAACTTGCCAGCCACAGTGAAGGCAAACAGGCAAAAAGCCAAGTTTCCTTCTTCCATGTGGGTGCCACCCACATTTAGGGTGGGTCTTCTCACTTCAAATAATCTGATCAAGAAAATTCCTCACAGAAATGCCCAGAGGCTTACCTTTTAGTTGATTCCAGTTCCAGATCAAATTGACAACCAAGATGAACGATGGTTAATGATATGATGACAGAGAATGTGGTTTATAAGAGTGAAAGTCAGGGTTTAAGCCGTCACCCTTGATTGTAGCTGTGGAATATATTTTTGTTTTTTAAATTTCTTTTTAGATTTTTACATCTTATTTTATCTGTATGAGTGCTTTGTTTGCATGTATGTACATGTACCACATCATGCTTGGTTCCCACACAGGTGAGAAGAAGGTATTGGTTCCCCTGAAACTAGAGTAGTAGATGGCTGTGAACTACCATGTGGGTACTGGGAACCTAACTGAGGTCCTCTGCAAGCACAAGTGTTCCTAACCACTTAGCCATCTGTCCAGCCCCAACTGTTGTATATTGTATGTGCATACCTATGGGCCTGTCTGCTGCTAAGTAAATAGTAGTAAGTTTATAATGCATAGTGTGAGTGCTTTGAGAAATAATAAGCTGTGAAAGTGAAATAAGCCCTGAAGTTGGCACAATGGGAAAAAATCTGTTAGGGGCTAATTGTTCATTGTGATGAGCCTGGTATTTGTTTTTCTACACAGGAGCCATGGATAACAGAGGCTTCCATCAGGGAAGTTTTAGTAGCTTCCAGAGCAGCTCTAGCGATGAAGACTTGATGGACATCCCAGGGACTGCTATGGATTTCTCCATGAGAGATGATGTGCCTCCTTTAGATCGAGAAATAGAAGGTACCATTATTGCTAGTTTTCCAAATATTTGTAACTTGTGTACAGTAGGCACACAGCCTTGCAACTTTTAATACATTCTTCTTACCAACACACTGGCAGGATATTGAATTGTCTTGACCCATAGAAAAATTCCTTCTTGCTATTCCTTTGATTTTAGACCTCTGTCCCCTCTAGTCCTTGATATCACTGATCTTTACTCTGTCCTAGTCATTTTTTGTTTTCCTTTGAGGATATCACATTACTGGAATTTATATTATTTTACTTTGTGTGGGGGGTATGGAGAGGGTGGGACATGCATGGGCCATGGTGTGCATGTAGAGGACAGAGGATAACTTAACAAATCAGTTCTTACACCATGTAGGTTCTATGGATAGAACTTAGGTTGTCAAGCTTAGCAGCAAGTGTCCTTCCCCACTCAGACATCTTACTAGCCCCCTGTCCTGTGTCCTCTTTTGAGACTGAATTCTTTTGCTCAGCTCAGTGACTTGGAAATTTATCATTTTCTTGCTGCATGCATACCCAGGGGTGGGAGCCTTGAATCTCGGGGTAAATGTGTATTTGACTTTAAAAGAAAATGCCAAAACACTGTTCAAAGTGCCTGCAAAATTTTGCATCTTAACTAGCTCTATATGAGTGTTCTGTGTGTTCTACATCTTTGGCAGTATCAAAGATGTTGTTATCAGTAATTTTTATTTTAGCTTTCCTAAAAAGTATGTACCATTATCTCATGATTTGAGTTTTATTTCCTTAATGGCTAATGAGGTGGTTTAATATCATATCATGTGCTTATTTGCCAGGCTTATATATCCTCTTTGGTGAAGTAGGTGCTCAGATCTTACCCACTTTTTAAAACTGTATTTTCATTAGCAGGAAATCATCTGGAAAGTTAAGTGATATCCCAGTGATTATTTGATTACCTCCTTGCATTATCATTTCTATGGCTGCGTACAGTGCATGGTATGGCTGTGCTTTAAGTTCATGTAACCAAGCTTCTATTGATACACATTTTAGTTATTCTCCTCTTTTGTTATTCCAAGTAATGCCACAATGAACCACTATATAGTCTTTCTGTCTGTCTGTCTCTGTCTCTGTGTGTGTGTGTGTGTGTGTTAGTTACTTATCTGTTGCTATGACAAAACACCATGATCAATTCAACTTACAAAAGAAATGTTTAATCAGCCTACAGTTTCAGAAGGTTAGAGTCCATTATGGTGGAGCAAAGACATAGTGTTAGCAACAGCTGAGAACTCTCATCTTGATCCACAAGTAGGAGGCAGAGAGAGGGGGTGGTGCAGAGAGAGACAGAGAAACAGAGACACACACAGAGAGACACATGCACAGAGACAGGGAGACAGACAGAAAATTGGGAGTGTTTTGGAAACCTCAAAGCCCACCTCCTGTGACACACCTCCTCCAACAAGGCCATACCTACTAATCCTTCCCAATAAGCTCCACAAATTAGGGGCCAAGCATTCAAACACATGAGTCTTTGACGGCCATTCAGACCACCACAGTGTATATGTGTATCTTTTAAGCATATGAGAGCATTTTTATTTCATGACTGTATGCCAGTGTTAATTTCTTTCACCACTATGGTGTAGAATACCATAATTTTCATCTTCAATGTGATAGGCTGAATAATTTCTATTAATACTTCTCTTTTTTTAACTCTTATTATTTGAGACAGGGTCTCACTATGGTGCTCTGGTTGACCTGGAACTCACTATGTATACCAGGTTGACCTTGAACTCACAGAAATCTGCCTTCTGGGTGCTAGAATTAAAGGTGTTCACCACCACCTCTGGCATCTGTTATTTCAAATTTCAGGATTTTTTTCTTTTCTTTCTATCCTTTTTTCTTTTGTTTGGTTTTGGTTTTTTTTTTTTTTTTTTTTTTTTTTTTGGTTTTTCGAGACAGGGTTTCTCTGTGTAGCTTTGCGCCTTTCCTGGGATCTCACTCTGTAGCCCAGGCTGGCCTCGAACTCACAGAGATCCGCCTGGCTCTGCCTCCCGGTTTTGTTTTTTGAGACAAGGTTTCTCTATGTAGCCCTGGCTGTCCTGGAACTCACTCTGTAGACCAGGCTGGCCTTGAACTCACAGAGATCTGCCTGCCTCTGCCTCTCAAATTTCAGTTTTAATTAATGGATTTGAACATAGTTTCTTGCATTTGCTAAACAGTATAATTTCTTTTCGTGAAGGTTTCCTGTTCATGGGTTTTTGTTTCTCTAATGAGCTGATGATCTCATTCATTTGAGTCCTTCAATATTACTAATTTTTTTTGGTGTGATGTTGTTTGAATATAGTGTTCCATTTCTGCCTTCTTTCTTTCCTTTCCCTTCCCTCCCGACTTCTTCCCTTTTCCTCCCTCCCTCCTACTTCCTCCCTTCGAAATGTTTAGGACAGAGTCTCACCCTTTAGCCCAGGGAGGCCTGGAACTTACCATGTAACCCAGGCTAACCCTTCACTTGTGGCAATCATCTTACCACAGGCTCCCCAGTGTTTATCACAGCGGTGAGCCACTGTGTCCAGCTAGTTTGTCTTTTCAAACCTCTATATTTTACAGATTGGCTGTTAATGTATAATGTAGCTAAGAATGACCTTGAGTTGGTGATCTTCCTGTTTTCATATCTGGAGTCCTAGGGTTATAGGTGTGTGCTACCAGATCCACCTTGACTTTTTTTTTTTAATCTGCAAGAATTTTATCTGCTTCTTGTTGTACTTAGAAGGAGCCAGAGCCTACTAGTGTGATGCTAACCTTGATAACATAGTGATGCCCTGTTTTAAAAGAAATTCTGTAGGTATCATTACTATTATATGATTATTTGTAAGCTCTTACAAGAAGAATCCCTTCATGTCCATGTGTCTGTGTAAAGGATTAGATTACACAAAAACATATATTTGAGCAGGTATTGTGTGACACTATTTCTGGAGAGACTTGAACAGACGTCTACTTACCCCAGATAGGAAGCTCATGATAGATATCACCGAAGTCTACCTTGGTGAACCAGTGAGTTTTATTGGTTTACAAGAATATGGGTGAGGGGTTACTTATAGGAGTAGAATCACTCAGTGACAACTGTGGCACTAAAGCCCACCCAGCACAGGGCAGCTTATGAACACTGGAGCTCACTGTACAACTTACAGGCAGCGCAACAGATTGGGAGTGGTCTTTTCAGGCAGCTCAGTTGGTCTGAGCTTCCTTCAGGCAGCTTAGCTGGTCTCCACCTCTTCTAGGTGGTTTGACTGCTCTTTGCTTCTTCTAAGTAACGTGGCTGGTCTCTGCCTCTTCTAGGTGGTTTGAATGTTTTTCTGCTTCTTCTGCCAAGGCATCTTGACTGGTCTGATCCTCTTCTAGGTAGATCAGCTTGCCTGAGAGTATCTCTCGGGAGTCCTTACATCTTCTGTGTGTTTGGGGAGGGAGAGCCCTAGTATATCTGTTCAGTTGGGGGGCATCCTTGAAGCTCTTGAGTTATTTCTTCCTGAGCTTCAGGAGCTTCCCCGCAGGATAGAATGGTTCTCCTTCCTCTGCTCCCTTTAGAACAGTGGTCTTCAATCTGTGGGTCGACCCCTCTGGGAGTTGAACAACCCTTTCACAGGGGTTTCAAGATCAGATAGCCTGCATATCAGACATTTACATTATGGTTCATAACAGTAGCAAAATTACAGCTATGAAGGAACAATGAAAACATTTTTTATGGTTGGGGGTCACGACAACATGAAGACCTGTATGTACTAAATGGTCGTAGCATTAGGAAGATTGAGAACCACTGCCTTAGAACATCTGTTGTTTCACCTCCTCCTAAATCTCTTGTGTCTTAACAAGCGACCCTCCAAAACAGAAGGTTTTAATCTTGGAGGAAAAAACCTGCTACACAACAGTGAGCCTTGAAGAATTAATTATTTGGTAGGAAGAAAAAAATTATAAACAGAAGGAATACTTTTGTAGAGGTAGGTGTCAACAGGCATCCTGTACAGAGAGATGATAAGACAGATATGAACCAGAATAGGTAAGTCACGTCCTTGGGTGTTGTTCTGGTTAATTTTTAGTGCCAACTTGACATAATCTCAGCCACTTGGGAAGAGAAAACATCAATTGAAGCATTGCCTGATCAGATGGCCTGTGGCCATGCCTGTGAAGAATTCTCTAGATTAATGATTGATGGGAGAGTGCCTAGCCCACTGTGGGTGGTACTATCCCAATATAAGAAAGCTAGCTGACAGAGAGGGAGAGAGAGGGGGAGAGGGAGAAAGGAGAGGGAGAAGGAGGAGATCAGAAGAGGGCATTGGATCCCCTGGAACTTGAGTTATGTATGGTTATTAGCCACCATCTGGGTGGCTAGGAATCGAACCTGGGTCTTCTGCAAGAACAAGTATTCTTAACCACTGAGACACCTCCACAGACACAGGTAGTTTTAAAAAATGTGTTGTTTTGTTTTATTTTGTTGAGAAAGAGTCTCATATAGTCAAGACTGGTCTTGAGTTCACCATGTTGCTGAGGCATGTGCCTGACATTTTAAAGATATTTCAATCTTCATTTCACTAATAGAATCCACAGCTATAGAATGTGTGGATGTAGAAATCCCATAGAATACCTATTACATGGTTAATTTCCCATTATCATAGGTACTGGGATGGATGGAAATAAGCCAAACAATAGATGGTAACTGGAGAACAACACTCTGTCTGTTTGTAGTCCTGAGGATTGAACTCAGGGTCTCACACATGCTGAACAAACCTGTTACCACCAGGCTACACGCCCAGCCCCTCTTTTCCTTTCTATTTTGATGCAATAATGTATACCTGGAGTCCTACCACTCTGGAGTCTGCAAAGCTGGATGATCAAGAGTTCACTTTCCACTTTAGTCAGATAGGCAGACGGGTGCACATAACTGTAATCTCAGCACTCAGGAAGTGGAGCCAGGAGGATCACCATTAGTTCAGTGTCAGAATGAGCTACACAGGAAGACCCTGTTTCAAAATACCACCAACAGCGAAAGAAAC